ACAACAGTCATCACTTTCAAAATCTGCATTCAAACTGACCAGTGCATCCAAAAAAGAGGCTCTGGCTGAAAATTTCCGCCCCTGTAGAGAGGGTCAAGCAGGTGCGCATTGGAAACGTATATCTGGTATACAATATGGCAGCATAAAAAACTTACTCATCTAGGAAACGCAATATTCAATGTTATATAAAGCATAATACTCGATGTCAAATAAATTGATTAAAAGTTATGTTTGACTATTTTTTACGAATATCTCCCCCATTAGTGCCTTAAAGCTGACATGAATTCTTAAAAACGCAACTTTTTCATCTATGTACGACTTGTTTCATACCAACTATAGCCGTATTCCGCCATATTTCTTTCAGATACCTTGTCTTATTGTAACGATATATACCCGAATGCCCTCGTTACACTTGAATGATTTTTTGGCTTGGCTATCGACTTGTGCACATCTCCGATGGTAAAACATTTGAAAACACATGGGTTGATCAAGACATTTCAAAACCACACAACATAATATTCATATTTCTGAATAATTATAGATTTGAATCAAATGTAATAAAAAAAGAAAGAAAATGCATGTTTGAAAGAAAGATTTAGTTGCACGAGTACGCATTTTTACACTGTGCCAATTTATGCAGAATAAACATGAAATAAAAAGCACTAAAACCCGTAAACACACTTTGAAATTATTATCATTTGAATGGAAAAAAACAATCAGCGTCTTTGATTTGCAGGTTTTATGCAGACTTTGATGCATGTCGAGAAAACGCGTCGAACGCTGTAAACGTACCCATACCTGGTAATAAGATCACTGCATCAGTTCGAAGATGTGCACAAGTCAAGTGATATACACTCTGAATTCCATTTATTATGTTCCCCAAACGAAGTTGGGGAACATATTGTTTTTACTCTGTTTCTTATTATTAAGGTCTTCCGACTTCCTTCGGAAGACCTTACTGTTTTTCTTCTGTTTCCTATTATTATTATTATTCCCTTTTCATAGTACACGTGATTTCTCCGAAACTACTGAACCGATTTCAAAGATTTTTTCAGGAATGATGCATTGTTGTAATATCTCCAGACCTTTTTTTCATTTTTTTGAAAATCACTTCCGGTCGCATTTTTTGTCCGATTTTCTTTTTTTAAGTTGTCATTTTGTCCAAGCATCTTCTTGTAAACCACTCAAGATTGAATCATGATATTTTCAGGGATTATAAAACATCTTATTGAGTTATGCATGACGTCTTTTAATTTCGCATCCGTCACTTCCGGTCGACACAGGAAGGGATGTTTAATTTTAAGATTTTTTGAAAAATTTAACGGGATTGATTAAAGGCAAATAGAACATATATTTTTATTCACAATCCTCAACAAAAAGCATCCATCAGAAGTACTTCCGGTAAAAACCGGAAGTAGTCGAAAATTCAAAGTTTTTCCTTTGAATCAAAATAAATCAAATAAAACGATTGAATTTGGGTTTTTCAATTTTTTTCTGACTTGCTGACTGTGATGTCAGCCGGCAATAATGCCGGAATTGTCAAAAGTCGTCAAATGACGTCACTTCCGGTCAAAACCTGTAATTACTTTTGCACCGAGAATAGTTTGGCAAGAAATATACAACAAAAGTTGTGCGTAATTATGAGAGCTTTCATATAAGATTAAGGAAAAGGGGCTGGCCCCTATAATTAGGCCAGGGGTAAATAGGTCATAAACGTTTTTTTTTTCTGAGAGCTAAAAATATCAATTTTTTAATGGTAACAGTTATACTATGAAAAATTTTATCTGAAATCATTTCGAATTGATGAAAAACCCTGTCATTTGGTATAAAGATAAACAAACTCCAAACTATATTTGTTTTTTATAAAACAAATATGTGGGAAACCTTACATGGACAAGTTGTCTAGCTACTGTAGCCAGCCAAGCCTTTACTGTTATCAATCCTCTGGAGCATTATTCTAAGCAAAATTATCCGATTTATATATTCTTGTGTGAATTGTTTACGAGGAAATTCCGACTGTCACAGTAATAAACAAGGATGAACACTCCTGACTCTGTTTCGGATTCCCCAGTGATAATTGTATCGAATGATTAAAGAGCTGACGGTTACATTTTAATTTATGATTGGCGTGGACCATGGGAATGAATTCGAAGGTAAGATTTTTGTTTACCTAAAATTTACATTATATTACTATGGCAGCTTAGAGCATTTATCAGCTGTCGATAGTTTTAGAAATACACAGACACAGCGATATATTAACTGTTTTACAGTTCAGACGCTCTCAGTTAGCCTTTTAAAATCCCCACAGCTTTAAATTTTATTTAAATATGTGTGAGCATGTAATTTCAACAAGACTTGCTTTCAACATGTTCAAAACAAAATGTTTTTCAACTAAATAAATAATATGTTGACGGGTGTGATGTTAGGGTACGATAAGCATGGTAAGGGTACTCCTACAAGTAAGAGCCTCGGTTAACGTCCCTACGCTCCTTATATACCTCGGACTCTTACATCCGAAGGCCATTTTCTAACGAGCACGTTCCGCCTTAGACTTTGGGCGGAACGTATTATGCGTGAAATAAACTGTTAACAAATAATTTTCAGGTACCTACGTGTTTGCATGGGGTATGAAAGTCACAAGAAATAATAAAAATCCATTTAATTCAGTGTGCATTATTGTTAATTAATGAAAATTGTCATTATTCCAATTTGTCACCAGAAGTACTTTCGATTTGACTTCACATTAATTTTGCGGATTGCTTGTCAGAAAACGAAATTTTTGTTGCATTTCACTGTTTTCGTTTCGTCAGATTTTCTGAATTCCAATTCCGAATTTTAAACAGACGACTTGTTTCAATATTTCTGCTTCGATTTAAAAAATAATGGATTTATTGCTAATACCAGAGGTTAACAGTGTTTTATGCGTAAGTTTTATCGTAAATATTGAGTATTTTTTTATTTTGTATCATTTGTTAATATACAAAGCCTTATTTCTTAATAAAATAATTTTTTCCACTTGGGGTTTCTGCGGCGAGAATTTTTACAATGGATGCTAGAGGTTACGGGACGCCAAGTCAAAATTATCTTGCCGTGAACCTCTAGCATGCTGGAGTATGGTAAGGGCAGATACTTATTCACTTTTAATTTAGATCAGGCTTGTCAAACCACACGAGACATTTGGTGCATCGATGCATGTTCACATGGACTGAGTTCAATTCAATTTATTTTAATTCGAATTAATTTACTGCGCATTAAATTACTTTGCATTAGCTCCTTGTGAACACTAACATGACTAAGGTAAGCTAATTCCAATTAAATTTTGAGGCATGTGAAATGGCAAAATTAAGTCAAATGCTACATGTTGGTGGTCAGCTTTAAGTACTTGTGCTATTTTTGAGTGAAAAACTAAGGAAAATATAGTGTTAATCACTAGAATGTGAAAACAGACATTGTGACATTATGTCAAATACATCTGTTTATGCCTAAGGTGACATGATTTGTAAATGATGTCATAAAAGCCTAACTGAAGCCTGCATGACTGTCAAAGTAAAATTTTTATTCGATTTGGTTACTTTGCATTATAATTAGCTGTCATGTGAACACAGTTTGATTCGCATTAGTTTGATTTGCATTTAATTTAGTTTACTTCGCAATAATTTACTGCGAATTAAACATGTTAAACTCTCCGTCTGAACAGGGCACTAGACTCTAAAGTCACATGACGTCGTAGTGTAAGTTTGGCCTACAATACCACTTTAAAGCTTGAATGTAGCTCAAAGAAGCAAAGCACTGTGGGTCCAAAGTTACTGCAGAAAAAAATTTAGTATAATTTATTGACAAAAAAATTGCACACAATATAATATTGCTCAGTTAATTAAATCAATATTTTATTATGTCATATGTATGTTTCTTAGTTAAATTGCAAAAGAAATTTGTAAAAAAAAAAAATGTAATAGTAGACTTTGCTTTTTTTGTGATAAGGCTGCAGAAATGATTTGTTTGTTAATTAGTCTATTGAAAATTTTTCAGTCATTTTATGATGCCACCACTTGGGATAGTAAGCTGCAAATATAGACTTGTACTCAGCACTTATTGCCTTTGAGAAGTAAGGGATCCTTTTCGTGCCAACACCCACACCTACTCAAACTGTGACACAGAATCTCGGTTTATACAGTCTCTTTGGAGTAACCTGTCTCTAGCATTTAGCAGTAAGTATCAGCTTCTTATTGATACTTTGATTGATAATGTTATCAAGAGAATCTCACTCATTCACTCATTTAATATATACTGGTGAATAGCTTCAATATGGACCTTTACCACTGTTTACTTGGAACTCAGGGTCATTATCCTAACATCTACTGTGAGGTTTTTAGGGTCTAATTCACTACAAATGTTGGGTGCATGGTTAGGGAACATAACTGCGTACATGTTTTTGTCTTAGGTTTGATGCAGTGAATTAAAATCAAGCCCAGTTTCATGATTATACATAGCGATTGCCCTACCACTAGGCTACCATAACAGACAATGATGTATTTGGGTTATATAGTAAAAAACGCTTAGGCAAACACTTATAATGAAAAGAAGCTTATCGAAAATTGAATTTTATTCCCAGTCTTTTTAAAATATATATGGAAAACTAAATGGTGTCCTGATAAGGCAATTTGTTAAAGTGTGTGTTAGGAACAATGTGCTAACACAGTGTTCTCAACACTGTTAGGCTAAGGCAACTTAGAACAACATGCAGTTGTGCTGATGCTCAACATGCTGCCATGCTAAGGCCATTCCAAGTTTTTTCTATGTTTAGCGTCCGTGTGCGCCTTGGTTTTTGACACCCCATGTTAGAAAAAACATACAACATCAGGAGTCCTGAAATTGATTAATTTAGGCAATGTTGAATTTGTCAATTTCTCCAAATAATTCTGTACAGTAAGTTATATTTGGTGTATTGTAAGCATTTATTCCCTTGTTTTTGCTTAAGAATAGACATTTCTTCTATTAAAGTAGTTTAGTTAGATCAAATCATTGAAAATCATTTTAATCCTGTGTTTTATGTTTTGGCTTCTGTGTTGTTGATCTTTTTGCGAATAGATTGGTAGGTTTTTGAAAGATGGGTGGACGCTAAACAGAGAAAAAAACTTGGAATGGCCTAATACAACTTTACACAATCCATTTATATGTGTAAGCTTGACGGCGTAGTGTAAACAGCCTGCTGAAACTTTGTTACAAACGCACTAAGTACATTGTCACCGTGTTGTCATAAGCACACTAGCCCATTCTCATAAGCGTGATAGCACATTTTTACTTCACGCTAGTATGTAAGTGTCTTAAACAATTAGCATGCTGTCATAAACTTAGTAGTATGGTGTTTTAAATGAGCTAGAGCAGCATTGTTACTTTGCGCTAGCTCATTGTTTCTTATGCGATGCTGTTTTGTCACTTCATTAGTGCATTGTTCCTAATGTGCTGTAACACCTTTATGAATGGCCTTATCCTGACACATAAAAAATCATAACCAGATACCATCTTTCTGACTGATTAGTCGGTTAACAACTGTTAACCATTACCATTCCTAATAAATTTTGACATGAACAAGTTATGTACATACCCTTTATTTGAAATCATGAAAAATTAATATGTTATTTATTACATCCTCAAATGACTGCCTGTAAACCTAAATTTATAAATGATTATAGAGTAGTTTTACAAATAATACACATGCAGAAACGTGACAGTATACATTTATTGACTGAGTTCGAGGGCAACATGCGTTTTGTCGGACCAAAGAACCAAACTGTCTGCCCGAGGCCTTTAGGCCGAAGGCAGACAGTCTGGTTCGAGGGTCCGACAAAACGCATTTTGCCCGAGAACTCTGTCAATAAATGTTTTGTTATACCTTTCATTTTATTATATATTTTTTGACATACATTTATTTTGTACTATATTCCGTAATGTAACATTAGATCTGTCATTGTTTAAAACCAAAGAATGAAAATGAGATTAAGCTCCGCCCATTCTGTGACGTAAGCAGTCCAACATCTCTCTGAGCGGTCCAACATCGATTTTTTTATGCCCGCTCAGCAAAACATTAAAAATGTTAGACTTTTTTCTGTATAGATTTGTATAGGAACAATTTTTTAAAGGTATAACAATATCTTATAACTAAGTTTGATGGTTTATCTTATCTGATAAGTTGTACTTTTAAAAAAATCAATTTCTTTTGATAGGTGTGACTGTCATCTGAGTACTGAAATTTGATGCCAAGCATGATCATGATTTGCCAGAAGAGCCTCTTTTGGGAGATGACAAAGAATAAACAGCAGAATGAATTTGAAACAATCAACTGAATCAAGTCTCAGTTTAAGAAGATGATTTTAAATATGTAACCGGTTCTTGTAGAAATTAAGATTAACAAGTCGGTACGGGGTTGGATTCGTTTATTCCATGGAGATAGATGAATTAAAGATGATATAAATAAGTTGAAAATCAATGGAAATAAATGGAAATCAATGGAAATCAACCCTAAAATAACAATAACAACGTATAAACACATAGACAACATAAAGACAAGCACATTCACTTTACAACACAAAACGATTTCAATTTAAACACATAAAACATTCATTTAGGCCATTACTTTACATTTGTACTAAACACATTCAAAGGGCAATAACTCTTTGAAATTCAAATTTACTAAAGATTATATTTCTTTTACATTTATCAATTATCTATTTACAATACTTGAAGAATATGAATTTAAACATACCAGTGTATGGAACTGAGTGATCACTTGATGGGGATTTAGAATCAATTAATTACATGATGACAGACCTAATGAATTAACAAATAATAAAATCATAATAATTCAAACTCAGATCTCAATTCTAAAGATCTACATGAATTAGATTAAAATATAACTTGCTCATATAACTTTCAATATATCAATCTTTACTTTTATAACTTTAAAACTTTCACTCTATCACATTCATACTTGTTTAGCAAGTTTAAGTTTAAAATACTTAATTCATTCACTATCTTTTAATTGAAGTTTATGATCATTTATTCAGTTTAAGAAAAGGTTTACTTACAGTTTATGGGTGTTTAATTTACTCCAAAATTTAATATCAGGTTTTTAATATAGACACACAGATCTCTGACAACACCCTTCTCAGAATGTAGCTATGAATAGATTGAAACAAAGGTTTTCCCGCCTGAATGGACAACTCAGACCACACAATAACAACTGACCAATGGAAAGGATGAATATAGACTACACCCTTATTTATAAATAGACTCTTCTATAAAACTTACCTTAACCCATAGTCTTTGGGTTAAACCATTATTTGAATAGGGATGTTTATAATTTTAAACAAAATATTAGTAATGTGCAGCGCTATGTAAATGCATGAATGAATGAATGAATGAAATTCCTGAAATAAAATAAATATAGCATTAATTGAAATAAAATAAAACTAAGTACAACTACCACAAACTCCCCCCAGCTGAGAAATGACGTCCCTGTCATTTACTACAGCAAAGCATAAAATGTAGTTGTATAAATTAATCCTTATTAACAAAACTGATGATGCTCTTCAATAACAGTGTTCTCTCCTCTGGAACATCTGTCATAAAATACATCTGTCTGAGCATATCTAATTCTCTGTGTTTGGTGTCGCTACTGATCTGGTAAACTTTATAGTCATCAAGATGTTTTGGTGGTTTGCGCTGCCTTGCAGATCTTCTTACTGTCACTTGTTCTTCTTCTCCTGACACTAAGCCACCACCCTCCTCTGTCTGGGGTGCAGGGATTTCCCGGGTTTCCCTCACTGGCTCTGGTCTGGCTTCTTCTCCTCTATCATCTGTTCTCTCCTCAGCTCTCTCTTCACTAATACTGTGTTGAGTATTGTCTAGAGCATGACTTCTCTTTGGTGGTACCGGTACCTGCAAAAAGTATTCATCATCTGAATCACTAAGATCTGCATTCTCTTCTACCTCTGCAACAGTTTCTTTGTGGTTTTCTGTCTTCTCTTGTGTTTGTTGTGCTTTCTTTAGTCTCGGTTTAGGCTTTGGCTTTTCTGGAATAATCTGCTGTTGGTCTGGATCAATGCATCCTATCGGCAACAGAAGATTTCGATGTAATGTTCTTGTTCTTCCAAGGCCATCTTCTCTTTGTACTCTATATACTGGAACCTCAGGGTTTGGCTGTTTGATGATTATGTATGCCTCTTCCTCCCATCTATCTGCAATCTTATGTTTACCGTCGAAGGCTACAATTTTCACCAAGACTCGATCACCTGTCTGTAAATTAGCACCTCTTACCTTCTGATCATAATACTTACCTTGTTTTTCTCTTGCTTTTTCTGCTGCTCTTAATGCTAATTCATATGCTGACTTCATCCTTGTTCTTAGATCTTCTACATATTTTGTCATGGTTTTCTTCTCTGGGTTGTTGATTCCAAAGGTAATATCTATGGGTAGCCTCGGTTCTCTTCCAAACATCAGCAAGTACGGTGATTGCCCTGTGCTCTCATGTCTTGTGATGTTGTAGGCATGTACCAGTGATGGAATGTGAGCTTTCCAATTAGACTTCTGACTTGGGTTGAGTGTTCCGAGCATGTCCATAAGAGTTCTATTAAACCTCTCACACATTCCATTGCCCATGGGATGATAGGGGGTTGTTCTGGACTTCTTCATCCCTGTTATACTACAAAGTTCCTTTATGATGTTACCGTCAAAATTGGCTCCTTGGTCACTATGTATCCTAGTTGGAAAGCCGTATTTAGTCATGAAGTTGGTGTAAAGGGCCTCAGCTGTTGTTCTTGCTGTCTGGTTCTTTGTAGGGATGGCCTGGGCAAATCTCGTGAAATGGTCCGTTATTATCAGGATATGATGGTAACCTCCTTTTGATGGCTCTAAGGTCAAGAAGTCCATGCACACTTATTCGAGTGGATATGAGGTTCTTATTGGCATTAGTGGTGCACGTTGATTGGTTGGTACTTTTCTTCTTAAACATCGTGGACAGCCTTTCACCCAGTTGTCATTGTCGTTGTTCATACCATTCCAGTAGAAACGATCCTTTACCAAAGAATTCAATCGGTCTCGTCCTGGGTGTCCAAAGTCATTATGCAGCATTTTCTTGTACTGTGTCTTTAGGAATCACCAGCTGTGTCTTCTCTTTGTCATCTATTTTTGTTTTCCTATATAAAATACCATCAATCAGGTGAAGGGAATGGAAGTTCCTAATCAAGGCTAGGGAATGGTGGGATGGTGGTAGATCTTCCATTCTCGGTTTCTTCCCTGACTTTACATAATGGATCCAATTTCTGAGAACTGCATCTTCTTTCTGTGCTTGTACCCAATCAACCTGTTTAAACTGACCTGGAATTTGTGTGTTTAGCTGGTTCACAATTTCTGAATCAAAAGACAATTTTTCTACATTTGGAATATCTAATTGAATAGAATTACAAACAGCCTTGAAACAATCATCTGAAATATAACAAGATTCAGTTGTCTGTCCTGTTAGTCTAGAGAGTCCGTCAGCGTCAGAGTTTTTCTTACCTGGCCGATACTGAATTTCTAGGTCAAAATTGGCAAGAGCTGCCAACCACCTATGTCCTGTCGAATCTAATTTAGCCGTTGTGAGGACATAGGTGAGTGGGTTATTGTCCGTCAGTACCCTAGTCTTACTTCCTAGCAGATAATCTTTAAATTTGTCACACACTGCCCACTTCAGTGCTAGGTATTCTAATTTATGGGCAGGGTAATTCTTCTCTGCTTTTGTCAGTCCTCGGCTGGCGTAGCTGATAACTCTTTTCTGTCCGCTCTGATCTTGATAGAGGACCGCCCCTAGTCCTTGGTGGCTCGCATCTGTGTGTAGTTCGAATGGTATACTATAGTCCGCATAACCTAATACTGGGGGTGATATCAAAGCTTCCTTCAGATGTTGAAATGCATGTTGTTCCTCTGTGCCCCATCTCCACTTCTTTGCTACACTCTTTTTAGCTGCTTTCTTGCCTTCTGTTGGAATCGGCATTAATTGGCACAATGGTTTGGCGATCTTGCTAAAATTCTTGATAAATTTGCGGTAATATCCCACGAATCCCAGGAACTTCCTAACCTCTTCTGGTGTTGTTGGGGTAGGCCAGTTGATGACTTTACTGGTTTTGTCTGGGTCCGTCTCGATGCCTTTGTTGGAAACTATATGTCCTACGTATTTAACTCTTTGTTGGAAAAATGTACACTTCTTTTGGGATAATTTAAGTCCAGCATCTCTCAGCTTATCAAACACTTGTTGAAGTCGTTGTAGATGTTCTTCGAAGGTCTTAGAAAAGATGATAATGTCGTCTAAAAATATAAAACAGATGCTAAGATGTAGCTCACCAAGGCAGTCTTCCATTAGGCGTTGGTATGTGGCCGGGCTGTTGGATAAGCCAAAGGGCATGCGGTTGTACTCGTAGAATCCTAATGGGCCTACGGTAAACGCAGTCCTTTCCTTCTGACTTTCCTCTATCTCGATCTGATGGTATCCTGATTTGGCATCTAAAACGGTAAAATACGAATTCCCTGATAAACTGTCTAAGATGTCTTCAATTCGGGGTAAGGCATACGCATCTTTTTTCGTCTTGTTGTTCAACTGGCGATAATCCACGCACATTCTTAATTCTCCATTCTTCTTCCTTACTAAGACAACATTGCTGGAGAAGGGTGATTTAGATCTTCTTATCACTCCTGCTTCTAACAGCTGTTGTAGATGGTCTCTTACTTCTTTGTACATTGATGGTGGTATCCTTCTGTGTCTCTGTTTGAATGGCGTTGGATCTGTTAACTCAATTCTGTGTTTGACTGTTGTTACATGTCCGATATCTGTGTCTCCCTTTGAGAACATATCCTTGTTTCTCAGTATCATCTCTTGAGCTGCTAAGTACTCCTCTCGGCTTAAGTTATCTTTCGATATATTAAATGAGTCCTGTCCTGTGATTGTCATAAAATTGGTTGCAGTAGATTCCTCAGGCATTTCCTCCATTGTGACTGGCTGAATCTCTGCAATAAGACCTCTGGGTGGAACCTTCACTGTTCTAGTTGTAACATTACTAACTGTTACTATCACTGGTTCCTGTACTTGGTAGTTGTAGTCTATAAGGTTCGGGATAATGTCTAAATCCTTCGGAATAGATGATTTGACTGTTGGTTGTATGAGAGCTATCGTCTGTTGATAAGGGATCATTCTGTCCACAAAACCTTGGATTTGTACTTCTCCATTCGGTGGAATGATGATAGGTTCTCTCTCTGCTGACTTGATCAATCCTAATCTATAATTGTTCTTTGCTAATTCCCGTTCACGCAATGATAAACATCGAAATGTCAAATACCACGGTGTATGTAGATTAGCCTTCTGTAAGAATCTATCTCCATAATTGTCCTTGGTATCTTCCATCATGACTCTCAATACATTGGTTCCTAAAAGTATGGGAACAGTCCTGTGGTAGTTTGTATCATCAACAACTAGGAATAAGCATCTGTGTTCTTTACTATCTCCTAGGCCTTTGGATGAAATCTCTAACTCCACAGATCCTTTATAAGGCAAACTACTACCATCAGCACACTGTAGTTGGAATGCTTCTCTAATATCATGTATTTCGATGTCTTTCAAATATTGTTGATAAAATGACTGACAAATAGTTGATACTGTAGATCCTGTATCCAATAAAGCATTTGTTGTCAATCCATTAATATTCACTTCAACTTCTGTTGGTTCTCCTATAATCCCTGTTGATTGACGCTGTATTTGATTTCGACCTAACGTCCGCGTCTCAATGCAGGCCGAGATGGGTTTAAACCTCTCTTGTGATCTAGAAGAACTCTACAACCATACTGCACGTGACCTACTTGTCCACATCTATAACAGACAACTTCAGCATCATCTCTACTTCTGTATGAATTATATCCTTGATTTTGTCCGTAATCTCTAAATTGTTGTTGACCTCTTCCTTGACCCCAAAAACCTCTTCCTTGACCTCGAAATCCTCTTCCTTGACCCTGAAATTTTTCATTCATAAAGGGTTTCTGTGGTCTTTCTGTTTGGTACTTTTGACGAACTTCATTGATATCTTCCTTCATCTGGGACATTTTAGTATCCATTTTCTGTATCATAGCTTTCAGTTCATCCATCTGTGGGTTACTGACTATAGTCTGGATTGTTGCTTTTTTCATGTCCTTTTTTCTCAGTTTGTCTTGTTCCACTTTCCTTATTGCTCGTCTCAATTCATCAAAATTTGTTGACTCCTTGAAGATATGACCAGTAATGTCCTTCAAGTTTTCAGATAAACCATTCCAGAACATGTTACGTAGCATCTGATCTGTGTTCGTTGGAATGATTTCTTCATTCTGGATGACTTTATTAAGGAGATCTTCTAGTCGACAGCTCCACTCTGACACATCCTCTGTATCTCTCTGAGTTGCACTGTAGAATTGAGAAAGCAAATTTTCATTGTCATCTACTGTACCGTAGACACTCTCAAATCGGTGCATAATCTCCTCTAATGATGCATCAGGCCCAAGTCTCATAAGAACTCTGGCTGCATTTCCCCGCAATGATCTCCTCATGCTTTCCAAAAGTATGGCTGGTTTCACATCACTTTTCCTTAAACATTCTACTTCATACCGCCATAAGTCATATGAGGTGTCACCTTTCTTATCTCCAGAGAAAACTGGGAGTTTTGGATGATAAGATGAAATAGTTGTCGCAATTTCTGGTGAACTGTTGCTTGCACCTGAAGTTATGTCCCCTTGAGATAACTTTGGTGTTGTCCAATGTGCAAAACTTGTCATCCAAGCTTTTAGTTCCTTGGCGGTCTTTGCCTTTGGTTTCACTCCTAATTCCTTGAAAGCTTTTGCTAATTCTTGAAGTTCTGTTTCCGACATTTCTTTCGTTGTTTCCTGATCCTCCTTCATAATGATGGTTAAGTTGCGAAATTATCTCTAATTTCTTAATTACTTTACTTGCACTAATATGTACTAAGTTAACTATCTACTGTATAGTACACTAGTATTACACTACTATCTATTGCTAGCTAAACCTGTAAACTACTCTTAACCGTACCTAAGTTAATTGAACTACATCATAAATGTTTTTGAGTAATTCCTGAAATGAAGAAGTAATGAGAAGCTGAAAAAAAAATTAATTAAATTCTAAATTCTCTGAAACAAAATTTAATAATTATCAGAAATTCAGATAACTAGTATATCAATAACTAATCAATTCAATGTGCTGTCTAAGTAAACTAAATTGTATCAAATAGATAAACTAAATGCCTTAAATAAGCTTGAACTTAAATAAATAGTCTAACTTATACTCTATGAATTGTCTGTAAGTTCAACTAATCAATGTCTAATACTAAGAACTACTCTAAGTCTAAATCTAAATTTACTTAACTAAGTCTAATTATATTTTTCTTATGAGAAAAGAAAAAAAAAATAAATAAATAAAATGTCGCGTTATACAAGAAAAGAAACCGAAGCCCTGGGTTAAAGAAAAGAAACCGACACGGTGACCTATTGGTCAATGAACCTGAAAATAATGAAAATAAATTTGTATCCCAAATAAATCAATGCATGATTTCACACTGTTTTGTCAACAAGTGAAGGGATATACTAATGCAATAGGGAATGTAATGACAACAGACAATATGCCTCAGAAAAGCTCACTTGAAAAATTCAATCTTCAAACAGTGAAATGTTTCTATACACCTGTACCTGTACTGTAGTCAGTTTACAGCTAAGCTACATGTAATTCAGCAACTTACTGACATCAGCATGCCTGAACAAGACTGAAAAGTCAAATTGATGATGATGAAATGAATGATATGTTATCGCTGCAAGCAAAGCGCAGTGTAAGTAAACACAAATAGCTAAATGGGATACTGAATTTGATTGACCTACATTTTACTTCTAGGCTGAAATGAAGACTTTATTTATATAATGATGTAATCAACTTCAAACCAGATGCAAGATGGTCAGACTGCTTCCAAGAAATGAATAAACAAACCAAATACAAGACAGGAACTCTTATTTATGAATACCAGCTGAAAATTCACCAACAAATTCTTTTGCTAAAACGTGGTTTTTTGTTTACCGGATGTTGTTATCTGAATGTCAAGGACAAAGGAATTGGTTTAGTTTAATTTAGAAAATACCTTCCGGATATTTCCGGATGTGCTTTCAAAGCGTTATTTAGAAAACTTTTAAGTTTTAAGCACTCTCAAATGTCTTTCTCACTGACTCTGAATATATTTAAACACTGAAATGACGCAAAAATATAAATTCACAAAAGATAAACTAATCAAAATGAGATGACCTACTGTACAAAATAGAACAGCTGATACCGATCACGTGATCAAGAAAATGAGGCCAAATCTAAATATAGTGTTTACATTCACAGAACATGAGAAATAAACATTAAAACAGTCTTACCGGACCATGCATGGTAGTGAATTATCCAAATACACAAACACAACACAATTTCACGCATATAATATCACAAGCACAACACAAACACAAATATTCACATGTATACGGGTCTTGCGCAATTCCTAGAATGAACTTCCTGTGACGTCACAAGGCGCCGAATACGAAGTAATGGATGGAATGGCCAAGTCAGTGCACTTCTGGAGCGCGCGGGCAGAACCACCAGGTGTAATTATCTCCAATTTCCGTTGGGCGCCATTTTTGTAACCGGTTCTTGTAGAAATTAAGATCAACAAGTCGGTACGGGGTTAGATTCGTTTATTCCATGGAGATAGATGAATTAAAGATGAAATAAATAAGTTGAAAATCAATGGAAATAAGTGGAAATCAATGGAAATCAACCCTAAAATAACAATAACAACGTATAAACACATAGACAACATAAAGACAAGCACATTCACTTTACAACACAAAACGATTTCAATTTAAACACATAAAACATTCATTTAGGCCATTACTTTACATTTGTACTAAACACATTCAAAGGGCAATAACTCTTTGAAATTCAAATTTACTAAAGATTATATTTCTTTTACATTTATCAATTATCTATTTACAATACTTGAAGAATATGAATTTAAACATACCAGTGTATGGAACTGAGTGATCACTTGATGGGGATTTAGAATCAATTAATTACATGATGACAGACCTAATGAATTAACAAATAATAAAATCATAATAATTCAAACTCAGATCTCAATTCTAAAGATCTACATGAATTAGATTAAAATATAACTTGCTCATATAACTTTCAATATATCAATCTTTACTTTTATAACTTTAAAACTTTCACTCTATCACATTCATACTTGTTTAGCAAGTTTAAGTTTAAAATACTTAATTCATTCACTATCTTTTAATTGAAGTTTATGATCATTTATTCAGTTTAAGAAAAGGTTTACTTACAGTTTATGGGTGTTTAATTTACTCCAAAATTTAATATCAGGTTTTTAATATAGACACACAGATCTCTGACAACACCCTTCTCAGAATGTAGCTATGAATAGATTGAAACAAAGGTTTTCCCGCCTGAATGGACAACTCAGACCACACAATAACAACTGACCAATGGAAAGGATGAATATAGACTACACCCTTATTTATAAATAGACTCTTCTATAAAACTTACCTTAACCCATAGTCTTTGGGTTAAACCATTATTTGAATAGGGATGTTTATAATTTTAAACAAAATATTAGTAATGTGCAGCGCTATGTAAATGCATGAATGAATGAATGAATGAAATTCTTGAAATAAAATAAATATAGCATTAATTGAAATAAAATAAAACTAAGTACAACTACCACAAATATATCATATTTAAATTTTGATTTGAGAAACAGACATAAATCCAAAAATATGATTATATCAATTGCTTTCAGTTTTTCAAGATAAATAGATTTTGTTGCAAAATCTAATATGTTTAATTTGGAATAAATGTTCTTATAAATATTTGTCAGATCTTGCATGTTTACATCTGTATTGAGGTCTTCCGCTTCCAAGGGAAGACATACCAATTCTAATGGTAAAGATGATAGAGGTCTGTCTTCAGTGGCAATATATAAGATCTAATATGTGTATTTTTACAGTATAATTGAAGGAACATTGCTATCTTGGCATAAACAACTAAAGCATTAACAAATGTGCATGATTCAGAACAAAGGACATGTAATTTCAAACACAAGATCAAAGAGATGTCCAGCCACATTTCAAAGTCAACAAAGCACAAAATCTGTTTACAGTTTAGCTCATATGAGCTAAAGCTGTAGTAAAATTTTGAAAATTCACCCATTATCATCTTTATCTTAAATTCTTCAGAATTTCATTTCCTTCTCAGAACAACTGGACAAAGTTAAGTTAAACTTGGCACAGAGCATTCTTTAGTGTAGATTTCTGTGATTTAGTGATTTTCATAGGGTCACATTGACCAGCATTTTTCTCAAAATTGCTTTTAGACAGAAACATAATATTTTCAGTGATGATAGAGCTACATGTGCTGATGTGACACATACCTCTCTCTTTCTCCGGAAGTGCAGCACGTCGGCGCTCGCTATGGCTTGTAAAAAATCCCATCGGGGATTTAGAAAATGTTCACACCTTTTCTGCAATATCTTTTTACATGTTAATATTTTGTAAAGACATTAAGAACAAAAGTTGTCAAGAATATCACGATCTTTCAAAGGATATCAACTATAAAGGGCTTGCCCCTATAATTAAGGACTTAGAGGGACCAAAATTTTTTCCTTAATATCTGAAAAAAAAATTTGAATTTGTTATACGTCAAAGAAGCAAAGTTGTTCAAAATGTCAAGCTTAATCTATTGAATTCGTCAAAATGCGTCTGGTGACGTCGCTTCCGGCCAAACCGAAAGTCATCAGAAAGTGCATATTTTTGTCATTCTTGACAAGGTTTTGGGTAACATATATCACTGAAGGCATTAAACTTAATTTTTTGTCAATTCACATCACTTTTGGTCAAACCAGAAGTAGCCAAAAAAGCTTATTTTGAAGGTTTTGACTCAAAATTGAAAATATAAAGTCACTGGAGACAACTTAGCTCATTGCTGTCTTTTTGTTGACGTCACTTCCGGTCAAAACAGGACGGAAGACCTACTCGTTGCTTTGCAACGAGCTTTGCTCTAGTTATTATTATTTTTCTTCTTCCTGGGAAAATTTTGTCCACGAGTGATCTTGTTAACTACACATCCGACTAAGGTAAAATGTTTTTAGGGTTAGTAGGCATGTTATGTAGAGTTGCCGAACGAAGGTCATTTTGCGCGCACGTGCTTGCAAGAGCGGGCACGTGCAACACGTGAAATGACCAATATAATGAATCCTACCGTAACTTTTCTATTTTTTGATGAAATGTTTTGAAACTCATAATATAAGGATATATTAGTAGTATAAATAAGATGACGTGGTCAATATGGCAAGATCTCACGCGCATGCACGTGCGCTTCCCTCTGATTGGCTGAAACTAAAGTCTCAATATCTTTCTTGTTTCTTGTCATAATCTTTTGAAATTTTGAACATAGTCCTATATTATGAAGATCTACAGCATGATATATAAAAATTTTCATGAAAGCATGCGCATGCGTGTGTGCTGTAATCTGATTGGCTGAAATTTTAAATGGCTATATCTCCTTTGTTTTTTGACGAAATGCTTTGAAATTTAAAACATAGTCATGCATTAGGATATACTAAAATATGAAATAGAAAAAAATTCATGAAATCATGCGCATGCACGTGTGCTGCAATCTGATTGGCTGAAACTTTAAATGGCTATATCTTCTTTGTTTTTTGACGAAATATTTGGAATTTTAAAATATAGTCATTCATTTTGATATCCTTCAATACGATAAATATAAAAAATTATGAAATCACGCGCATGCATGTGTGCTGCAATCTGATTGGCTGAAACTTCAAATGGCTATAACTCCCTTGTTTTTCAACCAAACAGGATTGGATTTAGAACATAGATAAATATAAGAGACTCCTACAAGAAGGTCAAGTCATTATGCACGTGCGTGCAAGTCCGTGCACGTGAAATAAGTAAAATTAAAAATACACTCGAATGAGTGCATTTTTAATGCTTTTGGATTAAATGCTTTGATATTAAGTATATTAAAATTTTAGATAGTGTAGACAAGATAATATGGTCGTTACGCACATGAACACGCGTGCAATGCCTATTCTAAAATATATTTAGTTTTTTTCCGGGAAGACCTTGATTAAGTCTAAATTCCATAAAGTATTTCTTATTTAATAGAGATTACAGGGAATATGGCACCAAAAGGGAGTTGGGGAGCGTTTGGGGAACATCTGTAACGGTCCCCGTTACAATGAGCACTAGTTGAAATATGCATCACAAAAAAGAAATAAACTCCATAAAAACTCAATAAACACACTGTATCTACTCCGTACAGTCTAGCGCGTCGACACACTTAGTCCGTGATGATCAGATTTTGGTCAGGGAAAATATCACAAGTGGAAAAGAGTGGTATTTGCGCGGCTGAAATGGGGGGGGGGGGGGGGGGGTCTAAAGTATAATTATAACGGCTTCATAAGGTATAACTGAAAATTGTCTATCTAGTTCTAATAAACATTCTTTATATAGTCTGCAGTTGTTTTGCATCGCAAAATTCATTTGTCAATTACAACTGATTATTTTAGTACTAATCTCAAATCTAAACCAAGTAATTTGATATACGGTAAATATTTAGTTCAAGACTTAAAAACATTTAACCAGAATACAAAAGTTTATGTGTACATCTGTACGTTCTTTAACACACACGCGGAAAAAAAACATCCCCCTTTTAGACTGATATTGAGGCATTTGTATTTTTAAGGGGGGGGGGGGCAGAAATAATTGACAGGGTCGTTACCTAAATATTCTTGGAAGACAGACATTTCTGCTAATTCCATTTTTGAAGATTTTTTATTGTCTCACTCCGACCACAAAGTATGAACATTTTTGCGGAATGTGACTGTTTTATAATTATTACAGGAAGTCTTTCGAGATTTCAGTATCCCAGTCTGACAGTCTAGTTTTTTTAAAAATGAAAATAATTTCTGTTGCAATATTTGGGAGATACTTTTAAAAACTTTGGTAGGGAAACTTGAAACCTGGTGGAATACAGATAATTTTTAATTACTCTTTTATTCATTGAACTCTCTCGCTCTCTCTCCTCTCGTAACCATCTGTAAGCGCAATAATAGATATAAAATCATATGTATTTTGTGCTGTACAATTTATTAGATCTTGGGACAGATCAAAGATTTTTTTTGTCAGACGGGGATGTCGAAACTTGTTCAAAAATTGAAATAATGACAAGAAAGTAAACCGCCGAAATTGAAAGGAAAATACATGTAAACGTGAAGTCTACATCATAGGAATGGGAACATTGGGAATTTTCTCAAATACATGTACCTTCTCAGGTAAGGAATCTGGACAAAAATTATTTAGACAAGAGGTATAAAAAAGCTATTAAAAGCTATTTTTTGGTATACTGTGGAACTCTCGTCGGCAGTTTGCTTTCCCTTCCTATATGCTTCGACTATTAATAATTTATATCCAACCCAGATATTTCTTGACATGAAAAAAAAAAAAAAAAAAAAAAAACGTAAACTCGCCCAAACTTCAAAACCGATGACTTCTAATGCTTCAAACCTTAGTCTTTTCATAACAATTTAACACAAATTCGCGTTTACCAGGGAGTCTGCATTTTCCGAGGGGGTTCCTGCGTAACTTTTTTCTTGCTTTAGTAAATAAATTTAATAACCTTGCAAATCCCAGGGGAAGGGGGGGGGAGGGGTCCTAACCACCTCTAGATCCGCGCATGGCACTCATGCATAGAATCACAACACAGCCAATTCAATTTATATTGATGGGGGACATCCAAAATCAGTTGGCAAGCAAAAAAAAAAACAAAAAAAAAAAAAAACAAAAAACAAAACAAAACAAACACAAAAAAACAAAACAAAAATACCTATGCACCACACTCTATACAATCCTTTTTGGTAGGGGATAAAGGAGGCTTCCTGTAACTTTCTGTTCAGTACATTACTTTTGAATGCTTGAATCTGCGTATTTTCTTGCAAACAAAAAATGTGGAGGGAGCTTCCAAATCAAAATTTTAATTTATTTAAAACTGCAGCAAAGATTATCCTCAGAAAAAGTGAGCCCCCCCCCCCCACCTCCATACTACGGGAACATTTTAAACCTTTATCTTTACCGAATCGAAATATTTCATGCATACTTCTTAAAGTTAGTTACTTCTAAAATTGGTCCAAAAATGGTAAAAAAGTTCGCTGGAATCTTCCTTGCATGTTACTTGTGGGTGGTCGAAGCCCTTAGACAGGGTTACCAAGACAAGATAGAATTTGTCCCCATTGTAATTTAAAAGAACTCAGAGGTGAGTTTAATTACATACTAAAGTGCAGCTCGCTACTTTTAGAAAGAATGCTATGCTTAACAGAAAAAAAGCATAAAATTTCAGAATGTGATTAATTTTAAACACATTATGAATAACAATAAACACTGTTTTCTGAGAAAATTGTGCTCGTTTATAAAGAAAAAAAAATAAAATATGCCCCCGCCTAAATTCCCATACTTCACATTTATAGCAACGTACAATTTTTTTGTTTAGT